CTGACTTGGGGACGCCTGGGGTTCTTAAGTTGAATCTGCTCTGTCCCAGGCGTCCAGATTCAGCTGCTGTTGAAACTGATCAGTGGCTGATTTCAGGAAGCCCTGGGCAGAGAAACTCTGCCTCAGGATTCCTGTAGTCAGCCGCTGGTCAGTTTCAGCAGCGGCTGAATCTGGACGCCAGTTCCGACTTACGTACAAATTCAACTTAAGAACAAACCTACAGTCCCTATCTTGTACGTAACCCGGGGACTGCCTGTAATTCCTGCATTAGGTCCATAATTTCCTCTGTGCTCAGATTACTAGTCTGCACTCCCCCCCTCTAACTCATTAAAAGCTGTAAGTTACAGTGTGCAGGAGGGCGTGTTCAGAGGTGCCGGACTCCTGAAGGCTACCTAGCACCCCCATGGATGCACACAGCAGTGGTGGCTACTGCTACACTCTTTTCCTGTCTCATGCCACCCCAGGTCTGGTGGTTAGTACAGCATGTGGGAGATCCTACCTTTGTCCCACGATCCCTTATGGGACTTCTAGCACAGCTTTAGGCACCATGGGAACAGAAGGCCAGAGGCTGTACTTTGCCCTTCAGCAGGGGCGCGCACACACTCAAGAGGAGTCAGGTTCATTCTGCATTCTTTCCCCATGTGCCACCTACACTGAACAGGCACAGTCAAGCCCTAAGGGTTCGCCAGCAGAGACCTCCCCCGAATTCAGGTGGGAAACAGGTGACGTTGGTCCAAATTCAGAGATGGAGAAGACCAGTGAAGAGGATGAGTGAGGGCAGCAGCAGGTTTCAATGGCCTTGTCACATGGCCCAGGTGGGCCAGGCATGTATTGAAGACACCCCAACCTTTTTATTTCCAGAAATCAAGGCTGACCTTTTCCTCATTATAAAATTACTTGGGTGCGCAGAACATGCATTTCATGTCTAAAGAACAATCCAGGGGTCATCTCCCATGGATGTAGACCATATAGCCAGGAAGCCAGGATGATTGCAATGGAGTGCCTAGTGGTTTCCTTTCTAATTGAACACCTGGCCCTTTCTGCAAATAAAAGTATAAGGGGCAATCTATGGCTGAGAGTTTCAGCTACACATGTGTAAAGCTGGAGTAATTCGACTGACTGCAGTAGAGTTGTTCTGGATTTACCAAATTGTGACAAAGATCAGTCTCTGCCCTTGTGGGTATTTATCCATGCATAGTCCATTCCCCCACACCAATGTTCCATCTACATTTTTTTCCATACGTGCATGGAATACATTTTGTTCTGTGCACTGAGGCATGTCAAAATGTGCACCACAAGCAGAAACACATGCTGCCAGCAGTGGGGGTTGTGAGCACTCTGCTAATCAGCAGGGTGGCATTTGAAACTCTCCTGGATGGCTGCCCAAGCACTCAGCTTGCAGGGAACACAACATTCTAGAATGGTAATACTGTACTTACATGAATGAAAGGATTCATTGCTTTGCAAGGTCCGCACCATGTTGCCGAAAAGTCAACAACGACAAGTTTGGAGCCTGCGGCCTTCAAAAAATCATCAAATTCACCCTGAAAGGAGTAGATTTGTGTGAAAAGGAAGAGTTGCTGCATAGACAGCGAGTACATATACAACCTGAAGATATTTGCTCTGCTGCAATCTTTTAGTGTTTAATAAGAAAAGTCTACATCAGCCTTGACTAACTTTTATTTGTTAGTTAAACTGCACAGATATTTAGCTATGGGAAGCTTCCCACCAACACACTACATCATATGGTTATGTTAATCTTCATAGCAACACCCTTGTTTTCACAACCCATGGCGCAATGATATAAGCTAGGATAATGCAGAGTGCAAACCATTATGAAAATTGGATGTTGAAAAGCCTCACTCATAGCAATGACATCACTGTTTCCATAGTAACTAGCAACTCCAAAGAGGAGAAAGCAGAGAGAGGCCGCAAAAGAGGAAAATATGAATGAAATAAAGGCAGATATAGCATAATAATAAGACATGATCGGGGGTGCTGCCTAGGGATGTGAACAACTAGTTGACTAGTCGACTATCCGATAAGCAAATGCTTATTGGAAAATCAATACACTAGTTGACTAGTTGCTTCCCCCCCACCTTACTGCCCCTATCTGAAGGAGGCAGCAAGGGGGGAGGAGGAGGAAGGGGTGCTTCAAAGCGGCAGCACCGTGTGGAGCCAGGGGCCAGATCCTGGGCTCCACGTGGTGCTGCTGCTTTGAAATGCCATGTGCAGCCTGGCCCCAGCTGACTCCGACCTCCATGCGGCACTGCTGCTGCTAAACACCGCGAGGAACACAGGGCCAGCAGGGGGCTGCTTCAGTCCCACACTGGCCCCATGCTTTTGCCTTTGAAGTGTAGCAACAGCCCTTGGGAAAGGATGCGTGAACAGACCACAAGTGACAGCTATTAGTCACAATAGCTTTCTGGGAGACACTCAATTCCTGTGGATCATAGTATAAGTGCCTGAATAGATTAGAATATCTATGCAGTCAGAGAACAGTCAGTATTTGTCCTTCATGCTATTCAGCCCTGTGCCTTGACCCAGATGTGAAGTTTCCTACCAGGACTGAAGGGTTAGCTCTATCCTTCTCCTCCTGAGATTACTCACCAAGTGGTGGTTTGTATGGGGTGGACACTTGTCCACTAGGAACTGAACCGAACCCACCCAAGATAGTGCCAGTCTAGGGCAAAAATAAATAGCTTGGTTAATAACGGGTATAAACTGGCATAATTTCATTGGCACAATTGGAGCAACACTGATTTACAGCAGTGGAGGATCTGTCCCAAAGTATTTTCAGAAGAAATGCTGCTGGCTATAGTTTTCTACAGCAGTTTGCTTTCCTCTTTAACCCCCTAGCTACTTGCCTGATTTTCTATAGTCTGCAGCATAACGTATGGAAGTGCCTGGGAACTGTTGCAGAAAACAAGCTTCAGGTTCCTGGCATCTTCTCCCCTCTTTCCCCCCCCAGGTTGTGCAGCTCTAGCCATAGTGTTAGGAGGCTTTGTGACATAGTGAAATGTGTCATCTAAGCTGGGAGCAAATTAACTTATTTCTTTTGCCCAGGGGGAGGAGCAGGGATTTTATATTACTTGCTTCATCAGAGAGTGTTGTTTACCTTCTGCCGTGAGGGGAACAGCCTCCCACTTCTCCAAGGCCTGTCCCTCTGTTTCCTTCAGATTCCCCCTTAAAACATTCTTCTGTCAGGAACCCTCCATTCTTACTTGTTCTCCTCACCAGTAACCTCCTCACTCTGCCTTCCTGTTGACCCACATCACTGTCTCATCTCTACTAGACGCCCTTTGGAGCAGAGTGTTTCTTCTGGGTTTGTCTCTGATCTCAAGTGTGCTGGCAAGAAGCGAGAGTAACCTCACCGACCTCAAGACAGTCACCCTGATATAAAATTGGTCAGAGATCAGAATTAGAATCTTAAAGCTCCAATCCTGCAAGCTACTCCACCCAGGCAGCCTTGGGCATTTGCAAAAGATTGGAGGCTGGGTTTTTATCTCAGGCTAGTTTTGCTGTAGAGCAGGGAATGGGAACCTATTTTGGGGGGTAGGGGCTGCTGACCCACAGAAAAATCAGTCATGGGTTTCACACAAGTGAGAAGCAAAACAAAAGCAAACAAAAAGATCCCACCCCAAAACCGAAGACAAAACCCCTCACTGATGTGGCCCTGCAGGGAGGACAAAACCGAAGACAAAACCCCTCACTGACGTGGCCCTGCAGGGAGGAGGAGAAAGACACACCCCACAGTCCCCTCGCACACCACAGCCTAGATAGGCCCCATGTGCTCCAGCCCCACGGGGGAACAGTGAGGGGGCTGGAGCATCAGTGCGTGCTCCCCTATGCTGAGGGGGAGCCCTAAGCCTCAGGGGGCCAGATTCAGGCAAGCTGTGGCCTGGATGTGGCCCCCGGGCCTTACGTTCCCTACCCTGGCAGCAGGGTAACTTCTTTGATTTCACTGCAGTTGCTCTTCCTTTACACCTGTGTAAGTGAGTTCAGAATCAGGCCCTGCATAAATGTAGAGGGAGATTTTATGTGCGCGTGTGAGTACAAATTTGTGAGATTAAGAAACAATATATAAATAATAGCACATGCAGAACATTATCCGTGGCTTTTGTGTTCCATGGAAAGATTATGTCACAGAGTTTCATCCAAACGTGTCATTCAACATGAGCACCAGTAAGAGAGTTTCATGATCTTTGACTATCAAAAGGCTGAAAGATAGTTGAATCCTTTCACAATCTATTTTGCACCAACTCAATAAATGTATTCAGGAGAAAGTTCACGTTAATTGCATTTTCCACTTTAAATGTATGTTTGTCTTTGTCTTTTGACAAGGCCTCTGGGGTTCAAATCCTGCAGTCTTTATGCAGGGAAAATCCCACTGGGGGGAAGGCAGTGTGGGAAAGTAAGGACTGAATAAAAAGCAGAGTAAAATCTGACACCTGGGATTTAGCCCAGTGAATGGCAACTCAGTGATCTCTCACTTTTGACACAGGTGAGATTTTGATGACCACAATCTCCCAAATCCTCTCACTCCGACAGCGAATACTCATCTCTTTCTCCAGGGCTGCATCTAGACTCGCAAGTTTGTGAGAAAAACTTGCCAGCTGTCTACACTGGCCACTTGAATTTGCGCAAGATCATCTAATGTAAGATCGTCAGTGTTCTTGCGCAAATACAATGACTCTCCCGTTTGGGAAAAAGCCCTCTTGCGCAAATGCTTTTGCGCAAGAGGGCTAGTGTAGACAGCTGAGAACCGTTTTGTGCAAAAAAGCCCCGATGGCGAAAATGGTGATCGGAGCTTTCTTGCGCAAAACCACGTCCAGATTGGCACAGACGCTTTTCCGCAAAAAGTGCTTTTGCACAAAAGTGTCTGTACCAATCTAGACGCTTTTTTTCGCAAATGCTTTTAACGGAAAAACTTTTCCGTTAAAAGCATTTGTGGAAAATCATGCCAGTCTAGACGTAGCCCTTGCGTTTGAAGCATCACTCTTTGGTAAGTAACAAGATAAAAAGAAAACATTAGTCTAACATGGAGGTGGGGAAGGGAGCAAAAAAAGTGAAAACAAGTCTTGTGGGTGGCCTCTACTGAGCATAGTATAATCATGGCTCATCTCTGGGCCTTCTCCAAAGGCCATTCAGTCAATGAAAAAACTTCCATTTGCCTTCCTGGAATTTGGATCAGGCTTGTGGGATGCATAAAACTCCCATTACCTTGTGTGCTAGTTACACGTGAGAGGCAAGACCAGGCCCTAAGCTTCTTTTTGATGCTACAGATGCCTTTTACAAGCATTTCCAGAGAAGTAGAAAGGGAACTGAGTCAGTGCCTTAGATAAATTCCAACAATTTCTTCACTAGATAATTGCAATCTTCTAAAAGATCAGCCGACTAGATAACAGCCTATTCAATGCTTGCTTCCAGGCTTCTCCTTTTCCCTGACTGGGCAAACTTTATTTTCATTTAAATCTTTTCTTACTCTCCACCCAAAGGATAGATCGGTATCTCTACATGGAAAATGATGCTAGCTGAAAAAAACGAGCCAGTACTAGTCACAGGGAGAGAACTGTATGGCAGAGATGTGGGGCCAGATCACTCACATTAGTTTCACATGGTCGGAACTCCTCTGGCCTCTGTGGAGTCACTCCTGATTTATTGAAGGCAAAATCAATTCCACATCCATAGATAATGAGAGAGAATGTCATGTGTTTGTTTTCAAAGCTGGGATGCTTTGAACTACAAATATAAAGGGCTACATGAATATAAAGAGCGTACAGTTAGTAAGTTCGAACTAGGCTTAATCCTCGTGGAATGAGGATTACCTAGTTCGAACTAAGCGCTCCGTTAGTTCGAATTAAGTTCAAACTAACGGAGCACTAGTTTAGCGCCTATGAAAGTTTGTTCGAACTAACGTCTGTTAGTTCGAACTAAGGGTATGTCTACACTACCCTCCTAGTTCGAACTAGGAGGGTAGTGTAGACATACCCATAGAGACTAAGAAAAAATGTCAATAGTATGATGAGCTTTTGTGGGCAAAACCCACTTCTTCAGATGAATGGAGTTTAAGGGGTCCAGTTTTCAAATAAATAGCCAGAGGGGAATGGTGATGGGGGGTGGGAGAGGGGAGAGGAGAGGAAGGAATTAAAAAGGAGGGGAAATAAATTGTCAATTAGAGTGTCCATGCTAAACGAAGCTGATAAGAATACTTAGTACCAACCAGAAGTACCCTTTATTTGTTTTTTCATGTCATTAGGATGTGGAATGTAGCGGGCCATCCAGCCAATGTCTTTGTTTAGACTTCTGTTGTAGGAATCAAACTTGTAAATGAAATTAAGTTCTGTAGCTTCTCTGTTGAGCTGGCTTTTGAAATTGATTTGAAATAATATGGTGACTTTGAGATCCATTAATGAGTACCCAGGAGATGGGACAGTCTGTGATGAACAGAGGAAAGAGGTCAAGAAAAATTCAATGCATGCAGAAGTACCTAGTTGCTTTCAGGGACTCAGGGCAGTACCAGCAGAAAAAGTCTTCAGAGATT